GGCCGCCGTACTCCTTGAGCAGGAAGTCGCGCAGTGTCCGGATGCTCTGGGGGTCGTCAATGTCCAGCTGGTGGAAGCGTGGGCTCAGGCCCTGGGCCTGCAGCTGCTGCACGGCAGCCTGGCCCCGCGTGGTGTCCCTTGCCGTGAGCACCACATCCCCGGAGAACTGCTGGCACAGATCACGCAGGATAGTGAAGCCGATGCCCTTGTTAGCCCCAGTCACCAGCGCCACACGGGTGTAAGACATGGCTGGGTAGCGGGTGTGTGAGGCACTTGTGTGGGCAGCAGACAGGGCTATGAGCCACAGCAGCGCTCACTGGGGAGCCCTGGCCAAAGTCAGAGAGTCTGCAGAGAAATGAGTTCTGGGATCCAGTGCTGTGATTTCCTGAGAAGGAGGCCCCACCTCCATCCCTCCCTCCTAGGAGGGGCCAAATGTTCCAAAGGTTTCCTAAGCCCCTCTCCTGGGTCCACCTCTTTTCCACTCTGCACCCCCGGCCAAAAGGACACAGGTCTCCCTTTTGATCTCACTTCTGAGGTAAGCAATCTTGCAGCCTGGAGAGGTGTGCTACCGCCAAAGCAAAGCTGGTTGGTGATAAGTCAAGTAGGGAACTAGAAACTCACAGCAGATTTACTAAAGAAACTATTTTGGGAGAACCCCAAAAGGAGAAAAGGAGTGCGGAGTAATGCCTTGGACTTGGGTCATCATCCACTGCAGAATGGGAAGTGTTGCTTTTTCCTAAGATTCAAGGAAATGACATAGACAGGCTAACTGCTTCTGAGGACATCGATCCCATTGCTTTCTTAAGAGAAACTCAAAAGAGAGAATTAGAGACTTAGGTCCCATGATTAGACTTTCAGTGTGGGCAGGGTACCTCGCTGTGTGCCTCCCAGTGAGCCCTCAAGTGGGACGCAAGGTTTTATTGAAGCTCTTAGTGTGTGCCAAGGCATTGATTGCAAAGTTTTATATAATGGTTACATAATCCTTGTTTGCTAAAAGTGGGGTGGACTTTGATTTTGTCCAAGGTGAGAGATAATAATTGGTGTATAGAGTTAGGTGTTATTTTTAAGGTCCTAAGAAAAAAACGATCTTTGCAATTTCAAATATATATTTCCAAACAGTTGAGATGCTATTGTGTTGATCTAGACATTGTTGTCCTCTTGGGTCAGTTTGCAAAAGAAAAAAAGTAACAGAGGAAATAAAGTGCCTGGTTGAAGGGAGAAGCTTGTAAACTTCATTTTAGTTTATTTTTTATTTTATTTTGCTGAGGAAGCTTCACCCCGAACTAACATCTGTGCCAATATTCCTCTATTTTTCAGTATGTGGGCTACCACACAGCATGGCCCCTAACACAGCAGTGTAGGTCTGACGCTGGGAGGCAGGCTGGGGGCCGCGAAGCAGAGCTTGCTGAACTTACCATGAGGCCACTGGGCCTGGCCCAAACATCACTTGGGGAGATCCCATTGCATTGCTGTCAGCCTGAAAATCACTGGTGAAGAATGAAGAATAATCATGACAGCACAGCCGTCTTTACAACATGCAGCGCTTCTGGGGGCATGTGGAACAGGGTCACTGAGCCCACTGGGAGGCAGGCTTGGTGTTGGGCAGGAAGAAGCTTCTCGTCAGCCCTGGGGGGGTCTTAGGTCCTAACAACGACAGGGTCTCAAGACAGAAGACACTTTGCACTTTTGTTGTGTTTTAACATTTTCACCTGTATCAGGACATTGGAGCTTCACACAGCAATCTTGTGCCCAATGTCCTCATTTTACAGGTGGAAAAACAGAAATAAAGTAAGATGCGGTTTTGCTCAGGGTCACACAGTAAGGTGGCAGAGCCAGGATTTGTTGTTTTCCGATGCTTGTTTTGAAAGCTTTCATACAGAAAAGTGAAAGAATGATATAGTAACCAACCATATATCTAACACACTAGGTTGAACAGTTATGACTATTTTACTAGATTATGCGTTCCTCTTCTGTATATGTTGTGCTGAACCACGTTCATGTTGCAGACCTCATGACACTTCCTTCCTCCATAAATTACACATTCACATTGAAGAGATTTGACAATAGGTCTCCCATATCCATGGACACCCAATTCCCATTCAATTTCCCGACTGTCTCAGATTCCCTTATGGATGGTTTGAAGTGCCCACTCCTACTTCACTCTTTGAAATTGTGTTTTTCCAACGAGTCTGGAGTTAAAGAGACCACACCAGATGCCTTCCCTTCATGGTGTTCTACATGTTATACTAGAGGCTGGTAAGCTAAAGCCGGCAGGCTCATTGGTTTGTGTATTGTCTATGGCTACTTTCAGGCCACCTCGGCAGATCTGAGTAGTTCCCATAGAGACCCTGTGGCCTGCAAAGCTGAAACTATGTACTCACTGGCTGTTTCTATAATGTTCCCTAAACCCTTGTGTTATACTGTCCTTCCTTGACCTAACTTTGAGGTCTATCAGATTTCTGAGTTGGTTAGCATGTAAATAATCTGCAAAATGGAAATTTATAAAGAACCATTTATTGATCTGTTCATTTCCACTCATTGTCGTTGATTCTACTTTTTTCTCCCACTATATCACAGAAGAAGTTACAAAAGACTTCACAGAATTTATAGCCCAAGTTAAATTGAGGACTTGATAGGGATATTTTGATTCCTCTTCTTTTTTATAGTTTGGATAGCGATATTTTTCACAGTGTAAATGCCCTTTGGTCAATCAAGGCACATAATATACAGGAGCCCACGGTAGCTGTGAGTTGAGCTCACCATTGTTCAACTTTCTTTTCCAAAATAAACTCCCCATGAGGCCTCTCAGCATCCGAAGGCAAAAGGGCCAAGTACTCGGGGGTCTCTGCTCCTTCTTCTGGGGAATTTGTGGCTTTGGGTCCCCCCCATGTCAGTTCTCACCCACCCCGGGCAGCAGGCATTCAGGAGGATCTTGTCCCCTCTCCTCTGCTCACTCAGCTTCCTGGCGTGGATTCTGGACAGGAACGTGATGCTGATTTTCATCACTCCGTATGTGGTATTAGGCTAGCCCTCCTTCTGGTGCACTCCATTCTTTGTATCTTCCACGAACTTGATCAGGAGCCCCACCAGCTCCTCTTCTGTGATGGTCTCACTTCTAAACTTCTCCTGCAGTTTTGGGCTGCAGTTGTGAAGGGCACTGAGACTCACAGTGCTAGACACATGCACCACTCTGCCTAAAATCCAACAGAAATCGTTATGTAGAAAAGGATGCACGAGAATGATGAATACCAACTTCACTGGGATTTTGGACCAGAAAACTTCCATTTGAGAGACAATTACCAGTTTGCTATGAGCATTAATTAAGACTGCCTCTACGAGTGAAGGACTTGATACAATCTTGAGCTTGTGTTACCCATAATGTCTCAAATGATGTCAGAGAAATGTTCTAATGGAGAGGGTAGCACCTAGAAGTTCCATGAGAAAATGAAAATGGTTTATATAGGAACATGCCAAGGGGAATGTAAGGGAGGTATTCATTCATACCAATTGTAAGGGAATGAAAGGAGGTATTCATTCATATCATCAGGTGTCCTTTGGGACCACCGGAGGGATGTTATGGTCTCTCGGGCAAGGCTCTATGATCAGGTCTCCTTTGAGCAACAAAGAGCTGAAAGGTTGATGGATGGCAGATCCTAGGTGAATGGACAGCATCTGCTGTGAAAGGCCTACACACTGATCGAAGAAGGGAACAACAAATCAGCTCAGGGGTCTGAACTGCATGGGGTTTTCTCTCTGTTTGGGTTCTTATCAACTCAGAGCAGTGACTAATGTCTGACAATATGACGGACAGGGGCCGTGGGAAACTGAACAACAGAAGGGATGTGCATATAGGGCAGAGCCCTATGGAAGTCCCTACGGGAATTTAGAGGGAAGTTAAAGTAGGACATGTCAGTCAATGCCCATCAGAAGAACCACTTCCAGGACTGGCAGGCTAGTGGAACCAGCAAGTGGGCATCCTGGTAGGCTTCTTTGCTGTGGCCATCTTGGTGCGGGAAATAGGTGGAAATGGGGAGCTGCATCAATGCAGCAATGAGAAAATGGTCGACGTGACTCTTTACATCCTGTGATGCACACATTGCCAAGGACTGTTCAGCCTGGCAGCAAGAGAGACAAAGACTGCAGGTGGTCATGAGGAAGATTCTCCAAGGGCAAGGCCCTGTACATAGCTGGCACGTTGAGTTAGGTAGTACTCCCGGGAGGCTACAAGTGGGTCCTCACAAAAGGAGACACCATCTCCGGGCCAGGCTTTACATATCCAGAAGTACATGCAAACGTTCAAGCTACATAGCAGGACTGGAACAGAAGATACTGCGCCATTTGGGCTGGCAAATTACATTTCTGCAGACCAAGCACACAGTTTCGTCCTTGGAGTAGTAGGTTTGATAGAGAATTGGAATGGGCAGTTGAAGCATTGGTTGTCTCAAACATGAATTGAGAAAGGTATGAAGAGCTGGCTTACACACAGTCGTGAGCATGTGCTCACACTCAACATGAGGGGGCCAAGGGAGATGCCCCACAGGATAGATTCTTTCCTTTCGCTGCAGGATGTGGGGAGGAAGGGCTGGGGGAGGATGCTGGGGTGACTATATGATTGTTACTCACATCACCTCCACTTTCTTTTTCCTACCTGATACAGTAGTCCTGACACTAGTGCTACAACTGCGGAAATGGGAAGCAGGAATAATTCCTAAGCGAGAACCTCTAACTATAGCTTTGAACCTTCATGCCAGAAGTCGTAAGGGTCTGATGGAGTGGAATGTGCCTTCACACCATCTGGCAAAATTGGAGTGACAGCAAATGCAGCTGTATTGCCTAGTGGCCGAGACAGCCCACGAGGTCTGGACCTATGCAACCCAACCCTACCTGATATGAATGGGAGTGGACCGAAGGGAAGGCACTTGTTAGACTAGCTGCCTTCGCTGCAGGCGATGAAGATCAGCACAGTGGCTGAATCTGACAGCCCTTTGAAAGGTGAAAAAGTTTGCATAAAAGTCAATGACAAGGAGGAAAAGGAAGAACGGTAGTCTAGGCTAAAGGAATGAATAAGCGGGTTATGCAACAAGAGAAATCCCATATTACCTTGGTGTCTCGAGAGACTCAGAGCAAGAGATGGTATTGTCTCTTAGCTCCATCATACCAGATGCCGGAAAATGTGAAGCCACATGTTACTAAGACCACTCCTGCTTTCAGGACCTGACCAGGTTGACGGGAAGCCAGGGAACCTGAGTGGCCTCGCTCTAGGAGATGGGGTCATATGATATGATGATGACCTGAACCAATGGTTAATGACTGAGTGAAACTCTAGCAATGTGCCAGCATGTCTTGATTCTTATCTTTCCGGTTCCACGTACCACCATACTGTGATAAGCTGTAAC